TATAATGTATAATGTATAATGTAAAACTATGATTTATGTATCTATATGTAAATAAATTCATTTATTGGATATTAATATATTTATTTAAAAAATAAGCATCATTTAATATAACTTTTAAATAATAAATTAAAATAATTTTCATTATTTAAAATTTTTATTATTTAAAAAATGTTTTTTTAAGTTTTTATGTTTAATCCATTCGAACACGTTTAAATTTTATTTATATGTTGTATATAAAAAAAAATTCAACAAAAAATATATTTTTGTATGAAAGTTAATTCTTTTAAAAGATATTATTTTGATATCATAATCGGAATATATAAATTTATTTTTCGTCACTCGAATTTAGGAAAAATATTTTGTAAATATAGAAAATTATCAATTTCTGATGATGTCGGTAAAAACTAATTGAGAACCTTTATTCGCGCAGACTATCCGTATTCGGGACGCAGCTGCAAACGTTTGCGCAGCTGAAACCGCGCAGATTGTGATCACGTGTTTGATGGATATAGTGGGAAACAGAATGATCCAATTGGAGTATTACTTTTATCCCCACTCTAGATTGCGTGAACAAAGAGACAAAGCTACTTCGTTACGTCGACGATCGCTGCCAGTAGAAAGTCGTTGGCAGTTGGTGGGTGCGGTTGATTCGCGTGAGTCAAAGAAAAGTGCGTCAGTTAAGTTTTGCGAGAAAGTTTTTCCGCAGTTATAAGGTGAACAAAGTGAACCAGCGTGATAGGAAAGAAAGTCATCGTTATTGTGATCGTTTGAATTTTACATTTTGTCGTCTTATCGATTCTCGCTGGCATCCCAGGGATCGGAGAAACGATTTCGAACGAGTTTACGATCGAAAAAGATTACGATCGCAACACCTCTTACGAAGGATTAATCTCGTCACATTTGCGAGATCATCCTAATGAAATCGAAAATTTTCGAGGAAATATAAAACGATTAACGCAAAGATTCGATACTTTGAAACAGTTCGTGTTAAATTGTTTCCGATATTTGCGGAAGAATTATCAAAAATTCTCGATATTTTTCCTCGCACTGGAGTGTCGACGAACGAATATTACGCGCGATCGTACGACGTGGCGGCGACGCCATTTTGTGAAGACTCCTGTGTGCGTCCCGTGAGCAACGGTCTCACTCGAGTCATAACCTTTCAAACCACGGAAAGAATAGTGTTTTCTTTCGGCCGCGTTGTCTCTCGACTGTCTCGGGAACGGAAGAAGTGGAGGAAGAAAAGTGGTTTAAAATCGACAAAATTTTACCATAGACCATTCGTCCTGGGTCATATCGCATAGCAACCATGAGACTGGAAATCGTGTCAGCGGCGGATTTTTTGGTGCATTTATTGCGTCTTCAGACGGGTCAGTTGTCTGAACGTCAGCTGGAGATGTTTAAGTCCTCTTTAACAGAGGTACTACGTCATCGTTACAGGGATCACTGGTTTCCAGATCGCCCAAATCGAGGTTCTGGTTATCGTTGCATACGCATTAATGGTAAGATGGATCCTGTAATTGCACAGGCAGGTGCAAATGTTGGATTATTACCAACAGTACTGCATAACTTATTTCCAAGCGAGCTCACTATGTGGATTGATCCGTCGGAAGTATCGTACAGAATCGGAGAAAATGGATCGATTTGTGTTTTATATGAGCGTACAGAGCCCGAACCAGAAGAGGCTCAACAACATCAACATCAACATCAACACCAACACCAGCATCAACATCATCAACAACAGCAGCAACAGCAACAACAATTTGAAAGTTGCAAAGATTCGCTACTGTTGGAACACTCGCAATTTAGCGAGCAAATCGCCGCGTTCGTTTCCAGTTGAAGCGTTTTTCGGCGCAGGTTCACCGATGCGATAAAAATCGCATCTCGCTTCATTTCCATTGGACGTGCATCACGCTCTCGGACTGATCAAAGCATATACGTTTCGTGATATGTGATCGCGTTCCTCTGGTCGGGTGAATATTCGGCTCGTGCACACGAACGCGCAATTCTACTCTATCTGAGTCGAATTCCTCCAAAATTAAGTGTTACAAGCTCTTTCGTGTACATCGTTTTAAAAATGAACAAGAAATGTGTAAAAAATGTGTATAACTGTTTTTTGGCTAAATTTGATTTATTGAAGAAATTCGTCCAATATATATTGTCCGATGAAGTCTCAACGCTTTCTCGACGGGTTCCTGACGAGTCGCAACGATCATAATCACAGTTGACTCTAGTCCAATCAAACATATATGAGTCATCCTGAATTTTCGTCAATCATACGAAAAAGAAAAGGATACTCATAGCAAGAAGAAGAAAGAAGTGTCACCATCATCGTTTGAATATTCGGAGAAGAATACTGCGCGTTCGCGTAACGTCGTGTACCTAGACCAGCGGTCCTTTAAATGTCTTGATGTGTCTCGCGAGAAGATTCAGATTTTTCCATCTCATTATGCTGGAAATACTGGCTGCTGGCGAGACCGGGCCTGCAAAAGTGAGAAAAAATATGGGCGAGCTCCGCGAGGATCTCTCTCAGTCGACAAATTGATCTCAGCTCTCCTCCCCGCGTATATTTCTATTTATTTCGAAAAGAAATTACGCCTGGATAGGGGAACAACGAACCAGTCTGACTCGCTTCTCTGTTGTCATGAGAGGAAAAGCGAAATAAACCTCTCTCCCTCAAGAAGAATTCAACAACGTGTTTTTATTGTCATAAAATCTCTTTTCTTCCACGTCAAAACATCTTTTCTTTTTATGTATCAATCTAATTGATTATTCTAAATCCTCATGTTCTGATGTTCTGGTGTTTGTCAATAACGAAAGACGAACATCGAAGAATATGAAATAAAAAAGGACAAGTAATTCACTTTTTAATGGAAAATCGACGAACAATATACTATAGGCTGCATTCTCTCTTCTGTCCGCATGGTCATCATGCTGTGCTCATCAAGGATTTTTTTCTAACCTCGCACTATCAATGCAAATTACCACCGAGCCACACACAAACACCATACACGTATTATAAAAGACAAAAATAAGTTGAAGAAAAAAGGAACAAACGTATATATTTCTGTCATCACATCGTCGAATACATTGAAGGAATTTGTTAATCAACAATTATTGATCAATCGATTTTTGATTTTCTTTGATCCGGAACTTTTTTCATGGAATGTATGTATGCTAATAAGCATGATAACAATAAATATCTATCATTTTATCCTCGGCATCATTGGCCCACTTATCGTTCTTGGATCATCCATTGCTATTCTTTCATTGGTCGTCGACTATCGAGCAATTATTAATTCGAATCACACGTTAGCATCGTTGACAAAAAAGAACACACATTACACTTCATACGTACAAACCTTTAAAAAGCGTGAGTTTAATGTACATATATATAGTTATTATGTATGTAAAAGACACATAATGCGCAAACTTCGTTTTCATCCGTTTGCGCATATATGATATGTCAAATTGTATATTATCTGTTTTCTGAGCATAAAATGAGTGAATGTGAGCAAAAGAAAAAAATGAATGGAAATGAGGGAGAGAAAAAGAAAGAAAAAGTGAGATCATATATGAATCTAGAGTAAATGAAAATAAGAAAAAGAGGAATATATATTTGTATGTATGAGAGAGAGCAAATGAACAAATAAATATGAAACAAATAACTGTGATTGATTTTGCATGATGAGAAAGCGTATTTCGTGCATATCGAATAATTATCTTTTCTGGTGTTTCGAACGACAGAATGATCGAATCGAACGAAGAATGCATGTTGACACGAATGAAAACGAATGTAAATGGATCACGTGGTTAATTTTCAATCATTCAATTCAAATTTGACAATAATATCTTTTCTTTTCAAAAATTTATTTTTTTTTTAAATCGATTCAGCTTCTTATTTTAAAAAATTGATCATTTACTTATTTATTGATGCAATAACTTTATTTCGCTGATCTATTATAATATATATATATTGCTGGATTGTTGCAATTTAATTTAATTAGTCGGATACAATGCAATAGGAATCTGGTGCGTATGATAAAAAATATAATATCTATATATGGGTTTCAATTTTACTTATAAAGGACTTTTTCAATATGAAAATTCTGATTTTTTTTTTCAATTTTGCAGATTTGTAAGTTTGTATCTAACAATTTCTCTTTTTTTTTTCTAATTACTTTCTTTATTTATTTTTTAGCTTTTCAATTATAATTATTTTATGTTTTTCCAACTGTGCAATAAAATTGTTAAAAACTTGTACTTAAAATAAAAAAAAGAAAAAAGGAAAAAAATAAAAAAGCACTCTCAGTCAAAAAACGTATCAAATGTATATATATTCTATAATTGGACAGTTTATACTACAATATATAAAATCATACAATTTTTTTTTTCATTTTCTTTATTCATTTTATTATTTGCATTTTAGTATTCAAAATATATAAAAAAAAAAAATGAAAAGTATTCAATTTTAAGAATTTTTTTCATTTTAAAAAATTGAATATTAAAGAAATTGTTTGGTATTAACATAAGTTTTCTTACAAATTTATAATGTTAAAAAAGAAAAGAAATCCGAATTTTCAAATTTACACAAGTTTCTTATTAGCAATTCTATTGTTCCAAGTAAAAGTTATAAAATCATTCGATTATATACATATGCTCGTATATGTATATGTAAATATGTGATCGTTTCGTCATGGGTTCTTCGATGGCATGTCTGGCTTACTTGGATAAAAAATATCAAATAGATTACAAAGACGAAAATCATCCAATGATGTATTAATAAAAATTATTTTCTTTTTTCTTTCGTAACACATTTTAATTATTCGGTATATTCGCGTGATATTACGCAGTAAAATTGAATCATGGTGTGCAAGAATTTGAGAGAATGCCGTTCATTTGATGTGACTATAATATAGAATAGTGAAGAAGTATTGTATGTTAAAACAAAAAAAAGAGAGAGAAGGGAAGTGTGATTGTGAAAAAAAGCAGAGCGAGATAGAAAAGGCAAGAATTCGCGTTCGGTATGTAGCAATTATTATAGAAACCATGTCTGTGATTATATTAAAAATAAAGAGACAATATGAGCAATTCTCTGTATGCGAACGACCTAATTAAAAACACGTGTATTCGTATCTGTATTAGATCACGTATACATGCGTATTTGTATTGTACCAATATGTAAAAGTATATATGTATAAATATATTTATATTGAAAAACATGCATGGCAATTTTAAACGAATTAAGAATTTAGATTAATTTTTTTTTAGCGATCAATATGAACGTATTATGCGTATGTATTATATTGTCTATGAACTTTATTTATATACAACACATTGATTCAATTTTCTCTTATTCTCTTTTTTCGCATTTTTTTTATTCATATAAACAAATTGCATTTTATGTTGGAAAGGGTTTGATCGTTTTTCTTAGTCACATTTTTAATTTTTTTTTTTTTCCTCCCTTTAGGGGGAAATATATTATATGTATACATTTATTTCGATTTAATTTACAATTGAAATACATCGATACGAATTCACGATTGTTCGATTAAAATTGCTAAACATGCTCAGTTTGCGAAATTGTAACCGAGCGCGCAAACCACAAAAACAAATGAGGAGAAAGAGATTTGAATTCGCTCTTTCATTTCAAAGATCAGAAACGCAAACCGATTCTCTCTGAACGACCATTGGAAAATCTGTCGAAAGTAAAGTTAGGTGAACCAGGTGAAAGTGTGAGAGTCGAACGGCGGCGTAGAAAATCTCGCACACGTAGTACTTATTGTACAGATTTTAAATAAAATTTAGAAGAAAAAAATGTTCCTTTTCTATTTTATTTGGTTAGACTCACGAAGAAGACAAAATATTCAAGACATAGGGCACATCTTTTTCATAATGATTGATATTCCTTTGAATTTGCGTATAAAGAATATACATGTCCAAGAGACGAACGCATACGAAACGTATAATAAACATATACACAAGTGGCAAGAGAGGTGCAAAACATTATTTCATGAGTGAATTATAATTATTATATATACATATATATATATACGCATATATTATATATACATACTTATATGTATAGATATATATATATATACATCTTGTAACTATACATAGAGTCCTTCAGGAAGAATTTGTACAAACCCGCTGGAAGCACCAGCAAGTCTGTGATTTTAGCTTGGTTAATTCAGTATTTTTTTAAATAAAGTGAGACAAAATCAAGATAAATGATAAAAAAAAAGATTCGAACCGCGAGAGAACTTGTGCATGATACATGAGCGAGAGAAAGTTCTGTATGGGAAAAAAAAACTGTCGATCATTGTGTATGCTAGGACTAGAAATAGTGGGGATGAGAATAGGGGTGGGAAATTGTGGGCGAATGTGAAGTGTGCATGCATGAAGGAAATAGGAGGGAAACGTGAAAAAATTATATTGTAAAGTGCAAACGGGAAGATATTTATTACGTATACATTTAATGCAATATATATGTACAAAAATTTAAACTTAAATTTTTCTTATGCAAGTAAGATTGTTGCAAATAAATTGTGATCCTAACTTTGCTAGAATTGTAAATACGATGCTAATGTATATGTAATATATTTCGGTCGCAAGAAATGACACGTGGAACAAAAAGCGGGAATTTTTCTCCATTCTTAATAACAAAATTCGTATATATGTGTATATATTATAATACTAAAATTGTATATTTTATATTTTCCATATTCGAAAATTTTAATCATCAATTTATATTAATATTCGTATTGCCATACTTACGAAAGGTGCAATAAGAGATGGAATGTGTACTTTATGATATATATTTATTTTTTAATCTCGCTTCGTGTGATTGCGTGCAATTCTGCGATTCTTCCGAAATCAATTTGTATAAATAAATCACATGCTCTTCCGTTCGCATTTTCCATCGTGTTCCCTCCGCTTTCTCTATTGATATAATGAACAAAAGAGAGAGTGAGAAAGAAAGACGATAATCGAAATCGTAAATTTGCGATGTATATGAAATTAGAAT